AGTTTATCCATGTCTACCCCTTTTTCGTTTTCTATATTCATCTCCTCTTGCGTCCTTTCTGCTCCTGATGTTATTCCTGTTCTCTTATTTGGAGATGATTTGCCCACTGTTCTTGATTTTTCAAACTTTTCGAGTAGTTTCTTCTCTGTTCTTATCCTATCTTCCTCTTCTTCCCTCTTCCTCTTAAACGATTCAATAATCGATTCACTGTTAGTCCTTTGCCTTCCAAGATGTATTGCGTTGTTCGGCCTTCCTTTCTTTTTTGACTCCTTTTGCCTTTCCGTGCCTTCTCCTGTATTGCTCATTAATAGGTCTCTGTCTTTGACCGCTCGGTGGCTCCCCCTTCACTGTTCGCTTTATAGTCGCAACTTGAGTCTCTCACCTCTCTATATCAGAGGCACCCCTGGGCCATTAGTGTTCGCTTTTTGGTAGGTTTGCGAACCCGGCAACTGGTTTCCCTTTTTGTTCCCTAACCTCCAAGGTTATCTCAGCATAAGAAACTCCAGAAAAGCGTCTTCCCTGCGATTCCTTTGCTGCTTCCTTCTATCTCCAACTAAAATTGCAATTTTGCGCTTGCAGAAAACCTGTAACAAACTCGCCCTAGGGCGATACAGCGGCAGATAAGTTCGGAAATAAGCAGACGCGCTCGGCAGACGTGCTTCTGTTTACTTACTCTCGGACGATCCCCTCAGGATACATTTTGCAATATTGCAAAATTAAATATATTTCTACAAAATACAATCAAATAATTTTTTTACAAAAATCGATTCTTTTTATTATTCTGCGTACAAAAATATAAAGGGTAATTGTTTACAATAACTAACACAGCTCGGATTACTTTGATCTTGACCAGAGAGAACCTTGAGAGCGGCCATCCGGCTTCGGGGGACGTTTGTCCTAATCTGCCCTCTGAGAAAGTGGACGTCAACTACGGCGTTACGCTCGGTAACGATCAGAGAGGACTCGGGTAACGATACATGGGTTCGTATTCATGCTATGGTTTGTGTCCGAACTACTCAGATGGAGGGGATATGCTGGTCGCGCAAGCCCTCCTCTGTCCGTGTACACTAGGCACTCGGCAAGCTTCGAGCGGGGAGAGAAGGGCAGACATACGATCTGCTGTCTCTCTTGAGCTGTGACGTTGCCGCTTTGCACGGGCCGGCTATACCACGATGTCACGCATTTCGGGTATCGCGTCTCGTGTCTCTCGCCGAGTGCCGAGTCTCGAGTTGACAAATCGACGATACGCTATACCTGCTATACGTTACATTTGCTTGTTTATTTACAAATTTTAACTTTTATATTTATAACTAAATAAATAAAAAAAATATATATATATGTATATATATTTAAAATTTATAAATATATAAAAATTGCAAATATAATTAATTAAATAAATATTTATAAACATAAAAACTAAAATTCGTAAATGTAATGTATAGAAATCACCGTTCTATGCTTTTCTATCTAAAAAAGTCTTACATTAAAAAACCTTTACTTTAGCATAATAAATTTTAAATTTAATGTTTAAATGCATACCAATAATTATATTATTAACTATATTGAGAAAAAAATGGTAGTTTATAATGTTTCTTGCACTCTTATTAAATTTATTTTACCTATGCATGTTCAAGCGGCCAAATTACGAGCAACAACAGAAGGATAATTGGGTAAAAATAAAAACACTTTCTTAAATATACAATACACATGGGTAACAGTGAGTTCTATTATAATTCTCGTATAGTTCTGATCGTGTTCTAATGTTTTCTAAAGAGTTCTGACGATAAACATTATTTATTCATATGTTAAATAATTTTTATCGCCCAAGAAAGACGCATTTACGGGTATAAGGGTGAGACGCTGTAGAAAATCTCGGAGTTCTGGTTTATATAAATTATTTTTTGCACAGTTCTATAAGCATACTAAAACAATTTCTAACAAGTTCCGGGCATCGGCAATGTTGTATAATTTTTAAATAAATTAATAACGTCGAAAGTCAGGAATTTATCGAGATTAGGGTTTTTCTCGAGCGCTAAGAATTATTCAAAAAATGAATAAATAATGCTTATTGCCAGAATAAAATGGGACAACGTTAGAACACGTTCAGAACTACACGAGAATTATAACAGAACTCACAGAACTGTCAAAATACGACCAGCGTCTCATCTTATTTTCGATAAATTCCTGATTTTCGAGCGGTATTAATTTATTTAAAAATTATACAACGTAGCTAGTGTTTGCTAAAGTTAATAAACATATATGTAGAACGTAGCTAGTGGCGGGAACTCTTTAGAAAATGCTTTAGTGTGCTCAGAACTATACGAAAAATATTTTATATAAGCCAAAACTCCGAGATTTCGCAACGTCTCATCTTCTTCTGTCATGATTACTTTTCGGTTAATATTAATTTTTTTTAATATAACACAAAGATTCTAACGCTCGGAACTCTTTAGAAAATGTTTCAATATGCTCAAAATTACTCAAAAAATATTTTGCATAAACCGGATTTCAACCGGCTCCGAGATTTCAACTGGCGTCTCAACTCGGTGTACTCGTTGCATTGTAATTTTTTTTTAGTACCTTATAATTAATTATTTTGCTTTTATATGGCAGAACTCTTTATAGAACTGTTATAGGACTATAGATCTTGCAAAATCTGATGAGATACAGTGGTGGAACTTGTGTAGGACAAAGTGAGACGCTGCGTGAACCTATATAGCGTCTCAGTTTGTACTGACGCGTTTTTTGGCTTTAATGGCCAGAACTATTTGTTTAAAATATCAAGAACTCTAGAACTATTGAAAAGGAAGCCAGAACTCTCAATAATTTGTGAGTTCCTGCAAAATGAGACGATAGCTTCACACACACGTCAGGAAGAGAATTAATAATTCTTTACATTCTTTTCCTGACGGAAGAGATTTTACACCACTTCTCAATATAAATATAAATTTATCTGTCTTGTTATGGTTTTATTCGATTATTCCGGCGTTTTTATATTTGTGATTTAATTAAATTATTGTTTATTTTGTTTATATTATTAGGTGATTGTTTAATGTTTTAGTCTAGAATAATGTTTAATGTTTTAGTATGTAAACTTGAACATTAATTATTATCATGTTTTTTTATATTTATCTTTTTCTATCGTAGTAATCCGTTCCGAAGAAGACTAAGTACAGTCGAAACGTTAACCATGTGTATTGTTTATTTAAGAAATTGTTTTTATTTTAATCCAATATCTCTTTGTTGCTGCTCGTGGCCGCTTATAAACATTAATAGCTAATTGGTCGCTGATTAATCCCGGCGATGGAAGCGGGATAAGAAGGACGCGCGTGGAAGATGTTAACTAAATATTCACTTTATTTTTGTGTAACTCAGACCACAGTCTGAGCCGTCTTTAATGCGTCTTTAATGCGTCAAAATTGATATATACAGTCTGACCTGAGAGTGATGAGCGGTGAACAAAATGAGATGTCTATATAGTCCGTGTAAATGAGAGGCAATTATATTAATTGCCGTACTCTTCGATGAATCGCCCGTGAGCCGGTGAGACACGTGGCGGTCGGCACTCGCGCACATGTGAGTCTGAGTCGTCGTGTTGACGTACCCGAGTAGAGCTGGATGAGCGGTCGATTTACATGTTAATGCAGTATCTCGGCAGCTGTAATCACTGCGGTGGGCACTTCAATGTGTAGTCAAAATCGAAAATGCACAGAGCACACGTCGTACGTCTGATCACTGCGCGGCCATTTGTACAACTCTGAATATCGCGAGGAAGACGTTGGCGATGAACGCGCCCGTGCGTGCGCCAGCTGTCGCGGTGATCGGGCGTCGATACCCGATCGATGCTGCCATCTGATCGGACGGCGCAACGTTAACGGAATCTCGAACATTCCGCCCGCCATCAGCAACCTTGTTGATGATTCCTTACTGTTGATCCTTCATCCGGTTGAAATGGGTAATATGGCAAGCTTGGCACTTGGCCGAGTGAGTGTCGTGGTGGCCATCTTGAGGGTAACCACCCTGGTGAGTTCATCCTTGCTGGGGTGCAAAGCTGTTACTCTGGCGAGTGGCCATTTGCACGGTGGAGAGCGTTCGTCGGTGAGCAGCACGATGGAGCCCACCTTGATGTTGTTGTTAGGATGATGCCACTTGGATATCGCCTGCTGGCGTTGCAGATAGTGAGCCGACCGTTATGCCCAAAAATGTTGAACACGCTGCTGGATGAGCTGCCACCGAGATAGTCGTGAGGTTGCTAGGTCAATCAGAGATGGCTCGGGTATAGTAGTGAGTGGGCCTCCAATGACCTAGTGTGAGCGCTGAGACGTCTTCAGGGTCGTTGTTAGAGCATGATGTGCCGATTCGAATGTTGCGCGGTGGTTTTACCGATCGCGGGCAACGCCACTAGCGAACCTAGGCGAGCAAGTACCAGGTAGAAAGTCCGAGCGCGCGGACATGCGACACACCCCGCGAGAGGGGGACAGAACGTTCAAGAACATCGAGCGTAACGGTCATAAAGCGACAACGCGAACAGTTTTGTACAAGTTATATTAATCAGTAAAGGCGAAGATCAAGCTAGCGACGAGTTTTCTTTGCCCCTATGTAACTCCTCCATTCGAAACGTGTCGGGTGGAACATTATGGTCCTTCGAGCCGGATAGCGATCCGGATACGGCAGTACGAGCATACGAACGAGAGTTGGTCGAAACGATCCCAGCTAGCGTAGCGCACGCGGAAGGCGTGCATCCATTGCGGAAGGAAGGGAGAGTAAAGCAGAGGCCTCCCTGTACAGCACAAACGACGAAACATACTCGCGCTATTGCGACGGAAAGCTGAGATGGTATAGTTCTAGTTACGCATTTATATAGAAGTATCTTGCTTTTGTTTGCTTAGAATCCGAGAGCCACGCGCGACGACAGCAGAGAAAGCAGCGTAGCCATTTTGTTCATCGTTGCCGAGATTCTACGTTGAACTTCGAGACCTTCGAGGCCCACGCAAGTCGACATGCCTGAAGGTTTGGAGACGTTAAGGCATCAGCGCGGAACGTGCAAGGCGCGTCTTACACATTTTGAGACATTCATAACCGGGTTTAGCGAAAGTGGCGAACCGGTAGAAGCCTTAAAAGCGAAAATCAAATTCGTACAAAATTCATGGTCTCAATTTGATAGAGTGCAATCGCAAATCGAAACGTTAGACGGGGATGATGCGGAGCGTCCGGTCATCGAGGATCGATACTGTCTCCTTCTTGGTCGTGCTCGTGCCCTCGTAAATACATTGACCCGCCCTGCAGGGGCAAATCGCGAACATGCAGATGTTGGTAACGCAAATAACGGTATTAAAGTCAAGCTGCCAGCGATGAACCTTCCGGTGTTCGACGGAAATCCGGAAAAATGGCTAGAGTTTCGAGACAGCTTCCAAGGGCTAATAGATGGTAATCGCGAGCTAACAAACATTCAGCGTATGTATTATCTTAGATCATCTCTGAAAGACCGAGCCGCAGAAGTTATTCAGTCTTTAGAGTCTTCCGCGGAAAATTACCCGATCGCTTGGAATCTCTTTTGACAAAAAGGTTTGAAGATAAACGCGCTATTGCCAGCAGGCATTTGCAATTATTGTTGGATGTTCTGGTCATGCAAAAGGAATCGGGAAACCAATTGAGACAAACTCTCGACGGTATTCTTCGTCATATTCGGGCATTAGAGTCGCTCCGAGCAAATACCTGGGATACAATTATTAATCACTTAATGATCGCGAAGTTTGATTCCGCCACTCGCCGTGAGTGGAGATCCCACATAAAGGATAAGGAAGATATCACGGTTGCCAGCTTGACTGAATTTCTCGAGGAGAGATGCTCCATAATCGAGCCTGAAACAAGCAGATCAGTTTTGGGAAAGCCACAGGGAAACAAATCGATGTCGCAGCAAAGGAAAGTCGACGGTTCAACCGCATTTGCGAGCACGAGCAAGGAAAATCGATCAATGCGTAAATGTACATTTTGCGACGAGGAATCACACATGATGTACGCGTGCAATAAGTTCAAGAGCTTAACCGTTCCTCAGAGAATATCCGCGGTAAACGAACGAAAACTCTGCCGCAATTGTTTGCGTCCTAATCACTTCGCGCAAGATTGTCAATCGTCTGCGTGCAAGAATTGCAATGCTAAGCATAACACGTTATTACATCCGAGCGGCCATGCCGAAAAGGTGGCAAATTCAGAAATCGCGAATGCGAGTAGCGTTAGCGTTGGGAACGCAAAGCAACAAGATTCGAGCGTTAATTGTAATAGCGTCAGTTTCCCGGTGCAATCTAGAGTGCTGTTGTCTACGGCCCGCGTATGGATTCACGATGCTTCTGGTAACGCGCATGAATGTCGGGTATTGCTTGACTCGGCATCGCAATTCAACTTTTTGACGAAGGAATATTGTGATCTATTGCAACTTTCGACGCACCAGTATAATTGCTCAGTAGGAGGCCTGGCCTCATCAATTAATCTCACGGAATGCGCATCTACGGTAATTCAGTCTCGACATACCGCGTATCGAGCCAAGGTTCAATTCCTAATAGTAAAACAAATAATAGAACGATTGCCGCTCTCAAAGATAGCTGTAGATCAGTTGCGAATTTCTCCGAATATCAAGCTCGCCGATGAGATTCTACATTCCCGATAGAGTCGATGCGATATTAGGCGCGAGCGTGTTTTGGGAGTTGTTATGCATCGGACAAATCAAGCTTGGTAAATCCTTACCGATCTTACAGAAAACGCATCTGGGATGGGTCGTGTCGGGAGACGTTGCGTTAGGCGATCCACCGAGGTCTTATATTTGTTGCTTCTCATCGGAGGCTACGCTTCATAATCAAATCAAGAAATTTTGGAAGATCGAGGAAGTTGAGCATAAAGCCGTTATGTCGAGCGATGACGAGATTTGCGAGCGTCATTTCATGGAGACTCATTGGCGGGACGATACCGGACGTTTCACCGTAAGCCTTCCTTTTAAAGGCAATCCCAGCGAATTGGGAGAATCCCGCAGCTATGCTTTGAAGTTATTTCACAAGCTGGAACAAAGGTTAGAAAAGAACGCGAAGCTTCGAGAGGACTACGTGAAATTTATGAACGAATGCATCGAGCTCAATCACATGTCCGTCATCAATTCTGAGCAAGAGGAGCCTGTTGCGGTGTATTATATTCCGCATCATCCGGTCGTTAATCACGAAGGGGGTAAGCTACGTGTGGTATTCAATGCTTCGGCGAAGACTTCCTCAGGGAAATCGTTGAACGACATACTTCGAGTGGGTCCTAACATCCAGCAAACTTTATTCGCAATCGTATTGCGTTTTCGACAGCATCTGTACGTCATAACGGCGGATATTGTAAAAATGTATCGCCAAGTAAATCTCCAGGAGGATCAAAGGCATCTTCAACGCATCCTATGGAGACCTAGCATCGACGGGCCCATTCTGGATCATCTACTTCTCACGATAATTTATGGCAACGCAGCGTCGGCGTTTCAGGCCATACGGTCGTTACATCAAGCCGCCCACAACGCACGCAAATCTTATCCAGCTGCGAGCCAAATCATCATTCGAGACTTCTACGTTGACGATCTGTTGACCGGTTGCAATGATCTCGATGAGCTGCGAGCGCTCAAGGATGAACTCATATTGGTATTGAGAGCAGCATGTTTCGAGTTATTCAAGTGGAAATCTAACGAGCCAACTTTAGTTGAAGAAGGCGCCAAAGATTTTACCATAATTGCAGAGGAAGGCCATCAAGCCAAAACCCTTGGCCTTGGTTGGACACCAAGTAAAGACACGTTCCAATATCGTGTTACCGCACACAATACGAATTCTCGCGTGACGAAACGCATAGTGCTGTCGACCGTATCTCAAATATTCGATCCCCTGGGACTTGTCGGTCCAGCTATCATCAAGGCTAAAATTCTACTACAAAAATTGTGGCAACTCAACCTGGAGTGGGATGAATCGTTGCCAATCAACCTGCACACCGAATGGACCGCGTACGTCCAGGAGTTAAGCTCCATCAATGACATTTCCATACCTCGAGTGATCGTCTGCAAGGATCCGGTTCGCATAGAGCTCCACGGTTTCTCGGATGCTTCGGAAAGCGCGTATGGAGCGTGTATATATCTACGCTCAGTTGATGCCACGGGAAATGTTACTATTCGATTAGTGTGTGCAAAGTTCAAAGTCGCCCCACTAAAGACGCTGTGTGTTGCGCGTCTCGAGTTATTAGCAGCACTCTTACTCTCGAAATTAGCGGATTCAACGACTCAAGCACTTACGATACCGCTTCCTGATCGATTTTATTGGTGTGATTCGGAAATAGTTTTAGCCTGGATTCATGGCGAGCCTCACATCAGGAAGGCTTTTGTGGCGAATCGACTAACCGAGATTCACCAATTAACTTCGCAAGAGCAATGGAGACACGTCAGATCTGAGAACAACGCCGCAGATGTGATCTCGCGCGGAATCAGACCTAGTCAGTTGAAGAACTTACGCCTTTGGTGGCACGGATCCCAATGGCTACAGCATCCCGAGGATTACATTAACCTGCCTACTCCAAAACCTAATGGCGAGGTTCCCGAAACCAAGAAATCTACCGTTTTGGCCACTCAAGTCATCGAAACGAATGACATCCTCAAGAAGTTTTCATCTTTGTCGAAGCTTAAAAGAGTCATCGCCTATTGTTTGCGATGGAAGGAACGTCCAGAACCTTCGCAGACTCAGCAGATGTGGCCACTTACGGTGCGTGAGCTTGACCGAGCGATGGCAGCCATTCTCCGCATGGTACAAGCGGAGCGTTTTGGTCGAAAAGTTCTCGATCTCCAAGCTGAGCAGAGAGTCAGGCACGATAGTGCTCTCATTACGCTGCACCCATTCTTGGATAGCGACAACCTTATTCGAGTTGGTGGACGCCTGCGTAACGCCCCGGTATCCTATTCACGTCGATACCCCGTCGTTTTACCGTCCAATCATCCCGTTACTACTCTTATCATTCGCAATGCGCATTATAAGTTGTTGCATGCCGGTGCACAAGCGTTGTTGTCGAATTTACAGGAGTCCTTTTGGATCCTATCCGCCAAGTCTGCAGTTCGTAAAGTTCTCCATAAATGCATCGTTTGCTTTCGATCCCGACCTGTATCTGCTCAGCATGTCATGGGGGATTTGCCAGAGAGTGACTCCCAAGCGTGCGTTCTTCAACGTCGGGATTGATTACGCAGGCCCATTTATCATTAAACTTAGTCGTAATAAAACATGTAAAGCGTATTTATGTTTATTCGTTTGTATGAGCACACGAGCCATACATTTGGAACTAGTTCCCGACTTGACCACTCCCGCCTTTCTTAATGCTCTAAAGCGGTTCATAGCGAGGCGAGGCAAGTGTGCGAACATTTATTCGGATAATGGTAGCAACTTTAAGGGTGCGAATCACGAGTTACGCGCGTTATACGAGTTAGTGTCGCAACAATCTCATATATCGGCGATCGATCATTACTGCTCTGAACAAGCCATACAATGGCACTTTATTCCGCCGTATTCCCCTCACATGGGTGGCTTATGGGAAGCGGGTATTAAATCTGTCAAAACGCATTTGCGCAAAATTTTAAGCGAGGCGTTGGTAACTTACGAAGAAATGTACACCGTGTGCACTCAGGTTGAAGCCGTGCTTAACTCCCGTCCATTAACGCCGATCTCTAATGACCCCACCGATCTCACTGCCTTGACTCCTGGTCATTTCTTAATCGGTGAGGCACTCACAAGCATTCCGGAGCCAAATTGGTCTGAGGTGCCATCCAATCGACTTACTCGGTTTCAATACGTTGCAAAATTGACCCAACATTTTTGGTCAAGATGGTCGAATGAGTATTTATCGAACCTTCAGCAGAGGTGCAAATGGAATCGCGAGGATCGAGCGTCGAAGATTGAGATTGGAGCGATGGTTGTCTTACGCGACGAGCAAGCGCCACCCATGCGTTGGGCGTTAGGGAGGATAGTGGAATGCCACTCCGGTCATGACGGAATAACGCAAGTTGTCAGTGTAAAGACTTCTAAGGGAGTCACGAAACGCGCTCTGTCGAAGATATGTTTGTTACCCATCAAGGTCTAATTTAAGTTTAAGATATAATTAATGCGAATAATACTACGCGCTTATAATTAGTTTTGTTGTGCAAGGTCACGTGGTTATTTAATACCAAAGAGCATTGTTTTCTCATTTATATATGAATATTCTTTTGAAAGCCCAGTCTTTCAAGGCGGGCGACATGTTAGAGTATGATGTGCCGATTCGAATGTTGCGCGGTGGTTTTACCGATCGCGGGCAACGCCACTAGCGAACCTAGGCGAGCGAGTACCAGGTAGAGAGTCTGAGCGCGCGGACATGCAACACACCCCGCGAGAGGGGGACAGAACGTTCAAGAACATCGAGCGTAACGGTCATAAAGCGACAACGCGAACAGTTTTGTACAAGTTATATTAATCAGTAAAGGCGAAGATCAAGCTAGCGACGAGTTTTCTTTGCCCCTACGTAACTCCTCCATTTGAAACGTGTCGGGTGGAACAGTCGTCACTCAACGGTTCTAAAGGCCGCGAGTTGAGAATGGCCTCGATTTGCGTAAGCAACGTTGTGAGTTCTTCCGTCGTGAGTAGAGTCTCCCCGATAGTCCGTCTCAGATGAAACTTAACGGATTTCACCGTCGCCTCTCACTTGCCCCCCATGTGTGGAGCGCCTGGTGGGTTGAACTCCCATCTGGTGCAATCCTGTTGTAGAATTTGAGCGATTTGTTGATGTTCTTGTGAACTCTGGATGAACATTTTCTTGAGCGCGGCGTCTGCTCCAATGAATGTTGTCCCGCAGTCCGAATACATGGTCTGAGCAATTCCCCTTCTGGCTGAGAATCTTCAGAAGGCTGCTATGAATCCTTCTGATGAGTAGTCACTGACTACTTCAAGGTGAATTGCGGAGGTGAAGAAGCAGACGAACACACAGATCCGTCCCTTGTATGTTTTCGCACCTCGTCCTTTCCATGTTTTGATGGTGAGCGGTCCGGCATAGTCAACTCCTGTATGAGTAAACAGACGTGACGGCGTAACCCGAGAAAGAAGTAGTTGGCCCATTAGTTGATGAGCACGGATCCCCCTCTGCCGAGCACACACGACACACCGTAAAATATGAGACTTCACCGGAGCCCGTCCGCCGATGATCCAGTATTGGTGCCTGACATGAGCCAATGTCAGCTGTGTTCCTCCATGCAGGGTACGCAGATGGGCGTGTGCAATGATCAAGGTTGAGAACCGTGATTGGCGAGGCAAAATCGCCTGATGTTTGTTGTCTTGAGCTAGTGCTGATTGGTTGAGGCGGCCGCCAACTTGGATGATTCCTTGAGCGTCTATATACGCAGTCAATCGACTGAATGCGTGAGCAGTTGGTAGTCTCGAGTTGGCCGTGAGCATCTTGATCTCGTGCGTGAAGTATGCCGCTTGAGTAGCCTTGATCCAGAATAATCTGGCTTTCTCCAAAGCAGAGTGCGAGTCCAACGACCCGTCCCAGAACCCTCTCAAGAGAGCGATAAACCTGAAACAGAGAGCTGTTATTTTCAATAATTTAGGGTTGAGTACTTGTATATGAGATCCCAATGATAGTCCGGCTGAGATGCAGCTGCATATAGAGCAATGCCAGGACGAGCCTCATGACCGTTCAACTCGTCCGGAAGCGCGGGTTGAGATGGCCATGCTTCAAGTGTGAGAATCCACGGTGGTCCCGTCCACCATAATGAGTGGCTTTGGAGTTGAGCAGTATTTAATCCTCGTGATGCGCAGTCGGCTGGGTTGGACGTACCTGGTACGTATTTCCAATGTGCGTTCGCAGTGAGCTCTTGAATTTGAGAAACTCAATTTCTCACGAAATCCTTCCAGCGCGATGCATGAGATTTGATCCACGTGAGTGTCACAACAGAGTCCGTCCACAGGTGAGTTGCTGTGACGTTCAACTTCAAGGTGGCTTGAACGTATTGCATGAGTCTTGAGAGCAGCAGTGCTGCGGTGAGTTCAAGTCTCGGGATGGTGAGCCGCTTGAGCGGTGCTACCTTGGTTTTGGAGCACACCAATGAAATCGTGGCTCCATTAGAGCCGTGGACGGTGATAAATACGACTGCAGCCATTGCCAGTTGAGAAGTATCAGAAAAGCCGTGAAATTCCACTGACGAGGTGCTCCATGTGGTTTGAGAGATGCTACCTTGGTTGTACCACCGAGGTATTGAGAGCTTGCAAGCCTGTGAGTTCTTTTCTGATAATGAGCCACCGTGATGAGAGCTGGGATGGCAGTGGTTCATCCCATTGGAGCTTCATGTAGCCAAAGCTCCTACAAGAGCATCTTCGCCTTGATCACCACTGGTGATACAAAGCCCAGTGGATCGAGTATCTGAGCCACTTCAGACCAAGCGAGGCGTTTGGTGAGATGATCGGTGTGCGACGAGATCCTTGTTGAGAATGTGAATAAATCTTCTTGAGAAAGCCATTGTAATCCGAGTCCTTTGGTTACGCAATCGTCAAATGTACAATAATTTGTGAGCCCTGGTCTTTTTCTGCTTGAACCGTAGTGAGTACGTCTTGATGAGTCGCGTGCCACCTTGCTAATGGGAAGCCGCCCGCCATGCACAAGTCCGTTGAGCAGGATTAAATTCTACTACCTGCTGAACGGTGTCGGCGCCTCCAAAATTGTCATCAACAAATCGACCGTTGTTAGATGATATGGCACTTCATTGAGTTGTTCATTTATCCAGCGAGTCCGTTGTAAATTTCAGTCATCTTCATGCACGTTGATCTGCCCCATCACCCTTTGGTGATGTCAGTGGCAACTAATTGTCGAAATTGTCAAATCCAGAGCAAAACATCTGATGTCTAGGTGCTGTGATGCGGCTTGGCTCCTGGTAGATGCACTCGAGTAAATATAAACGTAAATGTAACGTATAACGGATCGTCCATTTGCCAACTCGAGACTCGGCACTCGGCGAGACGCAAGGAGCGATACCCGAAATGCATGGCATCGTGGCATAGCCGGCGCGTGCTAAGCAGCTACGTCACAGCTCAAGCGAGAAAGAGACAGCAGATCGTATGTCTGTCCTTCTCTCGCCGCTCCAAGCTTGCCGAGTGCGGAGTCAGCCGACTGGCATATCCCCTCCATCTGAGTAATTCGGACACGCACCATAGCACGGACACGAACCATGTGTGTACCGTTACCGAGCGTAACGACGTAGTTGACGTCCACTTTCTCAGGCGGCGCGTCAGTATACGTCCGCTGGAACGGAATGATCCCGGTGGCCGCTCTCAGGTTTCTCTCTGTCTTGACATATGTTGTCAAGGTCACCCTCCTGAGTGACCTTCAGAAGGTTTTAGTCGGCGGTTTAGAAAAAGTTTGGAAAATATAGCAGCTATTTTGAGTATTGAAAGGCATAAACGACTAATATTACGTTTTTTTTTTAAAGCAGAGAATACTTTATTTTGCGAGAAAGTCGCTGCTTTACCAAAACACAACATTTAAAGCAATAAATTGTTGATAAATTAAAGTCTTTTTGTTAATGCAGTGAATACTTTATTTCGCGAGAAAGTCGCTGTTTTACCAAAATACAACATTTAAAGCAGTAAATTGTTGATAAATTGAAGTCTTTTTGTTAAAGCAGAGAATACTTACATAGGTTAGATGACGCGCTTTAAAAGTATTTAAGTGTTTAAATCTAAGCGTTTACGCGTGCGTCATAATAACTGTCACATTAATCCTTATAATCGTTAAGCGACTCAAGTATAACGCGACTATCGGGACTTAATAAGTAACTGGGACAAATGTTAACTTGACACAAGAAATATATTTCAATTAGTTCATTAAACACAGTGCGACGAGTTAATTCTTTCTCCGACCCGGAATTCCCGAATCCTGTGCCGACCCTGAGCTGCAATTCCCGGTTACAGCACAACACTATTGTATCAAGTAGAAAATGATTGTTATTTGTTTGATGACAATGTTTTAGAAATATTTGTTCACTTATTGTCAGTTTTAATTTATATACAATTAAATATGGACAAAAATGCAGCAAACAAAAAGCAACTCTATTTACAATTATATGATTCATATTTGTCATGGCATGCTCTATTATCTGGGCATATTAATAATATTTTAAAGAAATAATTTGTGAACAAAATTTTTTAATTCCTTAACGTACCTAATATATTTTTTAAATTACACGGGAATCTCGCAAACTTGAAAATATGATAAAACGTTATACACACACAGTAAAAAATAAAATGTTAATCGTAACATTTTTCAAATGTCCCAGAAAATTCACTCTAAATTTTGAGTTAAAATAACTCATTCATCGTGTGTTACTTGTTGACAAATTAGAAATGTTAATTTATTGACACTATATTTTATATTTATATTTGTTCTTTTAACTTTAAGTATGATGTTAAAATAACTTGTAAAAAATGTCGATATAACATATTTGAATAAACGATAGTTATTTCAACTTAAGAGAAATGTTGTTTTGAACATTTGATTGTAGTAAATTTGATTATTTTGTATGTCAAAGTTTACGATTATTTGAAGATTTACTTTAACTTTTGTTTATGTTAAAATAACTTTAAGGCGTGTTAATTTTTTGAAATAATTATGTTAAAAGAACTCAAAATAATATTCAATTTCTAAATGACATACATAAAGTGTTAAGTTATCACGTTGACATTAATATAACACATAAAAATGTTACGAAAATAATAACATAGCTGTTGTATGTTAATTTTACATTGAAATAGTAGTCAAATCTTGGTAACACAAGAAAATTTTAACATTTGGACGCACGATTTTTTACTGTGTAATTGTGAAATTTGGGCCGCCGGTCGACAGCCTGTCAATAACCGGTCGCTGACGAAAACTCGTGAAAAACACTTGACGCTAAACGATAACAGATAAAGACGGGACGAGACGATGGGAATTCCGAAATCTAGCGTCTCGACTCGCGAGAGATTGTAAAACCCGCGCCGCCAAAAATGCTAGACAATAACAGATAAGAGCGAGACAATAGAAATTTCGAAATCTAGCATCTCGATCGGTGAGAAAAA